CCATGTTCCTTTTATAATCCTCACTGTTCCAGATGAAAAACTGAATCAAGATCATACAGTCACTACAAGATAGGACAGGGATTTAAATCAGACCGTTTAACCCAAGAACCACCCATTTCACCATGATTGTCATTTGTGTCGGTTCCATGCAATGTTCTTACTGACTTGCAAGATGATGTGTACATGCTTCAGGATCTACTGACTAGCAGGCTTTGAAATCCCTGCCTTCTAGGATAACCTATTCTGCAGTGACACCCTTCTTTTAACTGAAATGTACCTTACCAAGGAACTGAGGAAAGCCAGCCAGATTAAGAAGCGGGTTTGGGGCCACTTGTAGGTAAGTGAGTGCAACTGTTTGAGAAGAATTCCAGGCAAGCAGAAACTTTAGTCAGCTCTGAGTGTATCCTATGATCTAAATGTTACAGATACATTATAATCCCAAGAACTCTTCTGAAAGGAGCAGATACCTGCTAGAGAAAGAGCAGATTTCTATGGAAACGAGGCCATTCCTTCTGGAAAAGCAACAAAAGCAACACACCCTCACATTGTTTATAAGCCCTTAAGGTTTCTTTGTAATCCCAGAGTTTACCTGCTTCATGATTCCTTATAATGTATGGCAGAAGAACTCTATAATTATTAAAAGTTAATTATCAACACTTTCACTTCTTGTCATCCATCTTTCAATTTGTCACCTCTGTTTAACCCTCCTTAAATTAGGTATTTAAACAGCTAATCTAGTGTTGGAGGCCAGGTTAACAATGTGCAAGTCTCTAAGTGACTTCATAGCGACCTTCACAAGTCTATTTATTTGGTATTTCCTTTGTGTTCCTTTATATGAACTAACTGGGCCCTTGCTAATAATTAAAAGAATTTGCTGAAGTATTCTTTTAGCAAAGTCAGTAGATAAGAATTTCTGTGACTAGCATGTCTTGCGACATTAGCTTGCCCCCCAAAGTATAAAACTGAGAAAAGTATTTTCCAAAACTAATTCGGGTTGGTGCATATGTATTTGAATGCATGTGTGCGTTCACTCATTCAGGAAATATTTATGCAGCTCTACTCTGTGCCTGGTCTATTCTAGGCAATGACGAACAAAAACCCCTGCTTTCACAGAATCACCATCCTAGTGGGGTGAGGTGGGGCAGACAGATAACAACTAGAATGTATTATGTGTCAGATGAAGATGACTGCTATGGGGGAAAATAAGGCAGAGAAGGATGCCAAAGAGTAGGGGTTGTGTTTTACAATGGAATGCTTGGGCCAGGCATGGTGGCTCATGCCTGTAATCCCAGTACTTTGGGAGGCCGGAGCAGGCAGATCACGAGGTCAAGAGATCGAGTCTTTGCCAACATGGTGAAACCCCATCTCTACTAAGAAAATACAAAAATTGGCTGGGTGTGGTGCCGCACACCTGTAGTCCCAGATACTTGGGAGGCTGAGGCAGGAGGATCACTTGAACCCGGGAGGTGGAGGTTTCTGTGAGCCGAGATCACGCCACTGCACTCCAGCCATTTTATAAAAATAAAATGGAGTGCTTCGGATTAACTAATCAGAGACTGCAGCAAGGTAAGGGAGTAAGCCACGAGAATATAGCGGGCATCCTGGGCAGAGGCCCAACGAGTTCTAGGAACAGCAATCCGGCTGGTGTTTTAGGGGCTGCAGAAGTCTGGTAGGCCAGAAAGAGACTGGGATTGCCTGATTTTATAGGACCTCATACTTCATCCATAAAGACGTGACTTTTTCTTGGTGTGAGACAGAAAACCTTTGAAAGATTTTGAGCATAAAAGCGGCATGGTCTGATTCATGATGTCCAAAGAGGATCAGCTGGCTATGGAGTGGAGAGCAGACTGTCAAAGGCCAGGAACTAGTTAGGAGGTGGTGGCAATAATCTAGGTGACAGGAGGTGATGGTGACTTGGACTGGCACAGTAGTAATGCAGATAGAAGAGGTTGGATTTTGTGTGTGTGTGTGTGTGTGTGTGTGTTTGTATACTTTCTAGTGATGGCATCTCACTATTCTGCTTCCAAGTTGGTCTAGAACTCCTAGGCTCAAGTGATTCTCCTGCTTCAGCCTCACGAGTAGCTGGGACTACAGGTGCACCACCATGCCTGACTTTGGATACATATTTTTAAAAAGTGAAGCCAATTGGATTTGCTAGCAGGTTGGATGTAGGGTGTGGAAGAAAAGAGCTGAGGTTTTCAGTTTGGGCATGTTTGTGCACACATTGGCATATGTGTCTATATAAAGCTTAACATTATCCAAAACTATCTCGTTTCTTTGTTTACTTATTTTTTTGCTCTACACCATTTGAAAAGGGACCTTCCCAATCTTGTTTATTGTTGTATATCCAGTGTCTAGAACAATCTGTCTCTTTCTCTTTCTCTCTTGAAAGAAAATATTTAGCTGTCAGTAATGTGGTTACAGAAAAATTGCAAAGAGCTGTTATTTTCTGTCTTCTGTATTTTCAACATTGAGCCTGCATTTATTTAAAAATAAACTTTATGTAATTACAGAAAATTGAACAAATTTGCAAAATTATACAATAGAAAATTTTAAAAGGCTTATTATCGTTAAGTGAAAGATTATACATTCTGCAGACAGAATGTTATTTTGAGAGCCAATGTCAATGTGAGTAAATGACCCCCAACCCTATAAAATAATAAATCCAAACCCTGTAAGATCAAATAGCCCTGTGTGATCCACAGGATCAGTTTCCAGGACAGAACAGACTTTATTAGCATTGTTTTTCTGCAAAGACATTATTCAGGCCAGTTCTCAGCCACTCAGCCAACAGCTTTGTTTCTGGCTGTGCCAAGTCTGCAAACAGTAGCTGATCATCTGTAGCTCAATTCAAAAGGAGGTTTTTCTAGAAATTCCAACCTCCCCTCCCCCCATAGCCAGCACATTTCTATTAAATTTGATTGAGTTAAAGTTTCTGAAATATTTCTTGAATGAGTGAATACACACATGCCTTCAAATACATATGCACCAACCTGAACTAGCTTTGGAAAATACTTTTCTCAGTTAGTTTTATACTTCGGGGGGCAAGCTAATGTCACAAGACATGCTATTCACAGAAATTCTTATCTACTGACTTTGCTAAAAGAATTTGCTAACTATTATTACTCACATAAGTGTCTTTAATTCGGTTCTTCGTAAAAGTTGAGCATTGAAGACAGTTGGTTTGTTATTAAGGACAAAATTATGCATCTAACTAATCTCACATTTTTTCTAAGCAGTGCAAATAAACCAGAGCCCTTCAATGGTTCACAGCTCCACAATCCTTTTATGTACATTCTGAAATCCTAAAAGACTCTGAATACTGAAAGTTTTTTGGGAGCTAATCTAAAATCAGAACCAGAATGGCTTGAACTCGGTTGGAGGTGAACCTCAACTGGGGGCGAGGGGCCTGAAGCTATGTATGATTTTACCATATCTCACCAAAAGTGATGCATATCTGTCTTACTGCAGAAATATTAATATGTATGATCACAAAGTGATGTGCTGTGTTATGTAATATACAGTAAAATCACTCAAACATCTTTCTAACAATTATGTTTTCTGAAACACATCTGGGCTTATGGGGTTTGCATAAAGCACCGTAAACCTGTACTGTGTTTGCTGTTTGGGGCTGAACGTGTTGACGTCATCTTTCTTTACAAGATAAGGGTGATGGCTGCTATCTTGCCCTGGTGAATGCAACAAGATTCCTTTTCTAGGCACCTAGAGCTTTTACAGCTCACATGCATCTCTTGCTCACCTGTGTGAGTGTCATGCTCTGAGTAGATGCCACTTTGTAGTGATGAAGCTTCTGGCCTGTACCTACCCAGATAGCACAGCCTTGGAGAAAGGTAGCATGAAGCTGGCTGTCTCTGGGCTCCGGTCCTGTCATCCATCAGTGATGAGCAACGGGAATTAGAAGGAGACACATTCTGTTCATGGCCAAAGGTGTGGCCCCAAGCCACATCAAAGACACCCCCACCTCTTTCAACCAAAACAACCTTCTGTGGACACCAGGGGCTCATGTATCTTAGGCCAATATCGAAGCCATATAAAGCCTGACGAATCGTCAATCCTGAGCTGGGATCCCGGTTCCACCACGTTTACATAGTGCCACCTTGGGTAACCCAGTTTCTTGGTAACCCACTAGAAGTAGCCTGACTTATGATAAGCTTACGACGTACTTTTCACCATAACAACTTCCTTTTTAGAGAAGGTATTGGGTCTGTGATCCTGGGAGAGCCCTAACTCAGGGAATTCCATAGCTCCCCTCTTTCACATCTTGAATTTTCTTTTCTCCACCTGCAGATCCCCAAGCTTTTAACTTGGAGGCAGAAGCACTGGTTGTGAGTTTAGAAATCTAGGAGAATCAGCAAGATACACAGACTCTTACAGTCTTAAGAGACCCGGGAGATGAGGGTGTAACCTTTTTCCAGCGCAGGGCTCCCACGATCCTCCAGACAGGTCCAGAGAAGTGACCCCTCATGGACAACAGCGCCCATCTCCGGTCAGAGAAACTCGACTGGCTCCTTGTGCCTCCATATGAGGGGCCTCTGGAACCTCTTCCGGGTCCCTGCAGACATGGGAGGGCGGCCAGCGGAGCCTCCCCTGCTTCTCTCCGGGATTTACACCCTTGCTCTTGGATACCTGGCACAATGTAGACATCTTCAGTTGGGTACCGGGGGAGCTTGATGCTTCACTCCTGCGGTAAGGTGGGGATTAGGTGTTTGGGTGTTGGGGTGTGTGCTTGGAGGGGGTGATTTAAATGACTCTGGAAGTTGAAGCCATTCCAGAGAACACACAAGCGGCCAGGAGAACCAGAATCTTTTCATCAACATCCACAAGGGTCACGAGAAAGGCTGTTCATTGGCCAAGCTCCTAGGCCACCCAAACATGGGAGGGAGGAGGGGAAGACAAACCCCGCCCAAGCCCCAGGGGATGGAGTTGGCACCAAGGACTTCTGGTCAACCCCAGACAGCAGACAGCGGGCCAGGCACTGCCAAAGGTGCAGGCGCGAAGCTGCCCTCTCCAGCCGTGCACTGCACCTCAGCGGCCCGTGGGCGAGATCGGGGTCCGGGTGGGAAGCAGACGCGCAATCGGAGAGAAGCTCCAGCAGTGGAGGAAGAGTTTGGAGAGCTTCAGCTGGGCAGAAGGGGCGCAGAGGCTTGGGGCCAAGCGGAGTTTTCCCTGAGGGTCCCGCGCAAGGCCCCAGCATCCCGGCTAAACCTTTACCGCCGGAGCCCTGAGCCGGCGTCCTTCAAGGGGCACAGAGGGCGCCGCAGCACGCACCTTGCCCAGCGCCACCGACCCTAAGCAGCGTCAAGGAAGGAGTCCCGATCAAGGACAGGGATCTGGGGCCATGGCCGAGGCCGCGGAGCCGGAGAGGGGTGCCCCAGGTCCCCAGGGGCCGCTGGAGGTCCCCGCGCCTCTGGCTGAGAAACCCGGAGAGCCGGGATGCGCAGGCGAGGAGGCAGAGGGGCCGGAGGGCAGCGTGGGTGCAGAGGAGGCGCCAAGGGGCGCGGCCGCGGTGAAGGAGGCGGGAGGCGGCGGGCCGGACAGGGGCCCGGAGGCCGAGGCGTGGGGCACGAGGGGGGCGCACCGCGAGGCGGAGGCCGAGGAGGGAGCCCCGGAGGTTGCCCAGGTGCCCCAGGGAGGGGAGGAGACAAGCAGCGCGCAGCAGGTGGAGGGGGCGAGCCCGGGGCGCGGCACGCAGGGCGAGCCCCTCAGGGAGGCTCAGAGGGAGCCGGAGCACTCTGCGGCCCCTGAGAGGCAGGAGGAGGCGGAGCAGAGACCTGAGGCCCCGGAAGGCAGCGCGCCCGGGGCGGCGGGGGACAGCGTAGACGCGGAGGGCCCGGCGGGGGACAACATAGAAGCCAAGGGCCGGGTGGTGGACAGCGTAGAAGCGGAGGGCCTGGCGGGGGACAGCGTAGACGCGGAGGGTCCCGCGGGGGACAGCGTAGACGCGGAGGGTCCGGCGGGGGACAGCGTAGAAGCGGGGGACCCGGCGGGGGACAGCGTAGAAGCGGGGGACCCTGTGGGGGACAGGGTAGAAGCCGAGGGCCCGGCGGGCGACAGCATGGACGCCGAGGGTCCGGCAGGAGGGACGTGCCGGGTCTCGGGTGAGCCGCAGGAAGGAGGGGACCGCAGCCTCCCGCCCCAGGCGGAGGCAATTGAGGTCGCAGCCGGGGAGAGCGCGGGGCGCAGCCCTGGTGAGCTCGCCTGGGACGCAGCGGAGGAGACGGAGGTCCCGGGGGAAAAGGGGTCCGAGGAAGCGGCCCCCGGGGACTCGAGGGCAGACGCTGTCGAGCACGGGGTAGGGGATGGGCCCCAGCAGGAGTCAGGGGAGGAAGAGGAGAGGCCAGAGCAGAGCCGGGAGGGGCCAAGTGAGGAGGCCGCAGCTGGGGGCGAGGAGGAATTCCCCGACAGCAGCCCACATGGGGAGGCCTCCAGGTGCGCCGCGGAGCCTGAAGCCCAGCTCAGCAACCACCTGGCCGAGGAGGGCCCAGCCGAGGGTGGCGACGAGGCCGCGCGCATGAACGGCCGCCGGGAGGACGGAGAGGCGTCCGAGGAGCGGGCCCTGGGGCAGGAGCACGACATTACCCTCTTCGTCAAGGTAAAACTCGCTTCCCTGAACTCTAAGGACGACCCCCTTGCATTCAAGGTCTTAGTCATCTCAGATCCCAGAGGGACGCGCGGGGAGGAGCCCTCGGTGGTGTCCTGATTGTCACCAGGCGCTTCCATGCGCGGGAGGGAGGCGGGACTGCGGGGATTTCCTAAAGCAGAGTTTTCAGAGCATTTGCGGGAGGACTCAACGGTTTGGAAGCAAAGACTTTGGGGGTGGGGGCGATGGAGAGTGCGACGGTGGGCGATGAGGATGTGGGGTTGTGGGTTCAGCATCCCACTGTCCTTTGTCCTGAAAATCCTAACTGGCCCTGCTAGTCAGGAGGTTATTAACGAATTAACTAAAAAGTTAAAAAAAAAAAAAAAAAAGCGCAACACATCCTATTGGTATTCAAAGGGATTTCTGCCAAAGGAAGCTTTAATACTTGAAGGTAGGTTCAATGTGGGAGGTGCCTTCCAGACTCAATCTCAGAGATCCAAAGCTGGTCAATGTTTTCAACTCCAAAAAGGTATTCCATTTTGGTAGAACCAACAATGCACATTTAGGAGGGAAAGTGGAGCCTTATTGACATAGTGTTTAATGAACGTTTTAGCATTTAATTTGGAAGAATACAAGATGCCGTTGGCTTGAACATCATCTGCTTGTATGTCGTGTTTTTAACTTCAGTTCACATGGGAAGAGAGCAAGGATTCTGCAGGGGAATCTGTAGAGACACCACTGAGAAAGTTTTGATTTTAAACAGGAATTATTTACAAGGCATGAAAAATAAAAGAACAAAGTCCAGCAGCAGTTCACACCAGGATCTTTGTTTAAAAAGCCTTTTCTGAGGACCTTTGGCCAGACCCAGGAAAGCTGGAGATAATAAGGTCAAGAATGTGCATTGCATGCTGAATCATAATCCTTCAGAAATACTTTCAAGCTTATAGAAACCAGTTACCGTCTAAACCTCTCTGGCTGAAACGCAAGCACATTTTAATAAATAAAAGGAAATGCTCTGAAAGTGATTAACATCAGAATTTTAAAAATGGTTTGGGTGGCGAGGGACTTGGGAAAGAAGGGGTGTGTGTTTCTTCCCTAGCGAGAAGGTGCTGTTTCTGGCCTTTTTCAAGACGCTGGGACATAACCTCAGGACATCAGCCCCTGGGAGACTGCTGGGAAGAGCTGGAGTGCAGTGCTGCTGTGTGGCCCCAAATCTGCTCCTCTCCATCACCTTGGATTAAGAAATTTCCCGTTGCTCTGGTTGTAGGGATACATGATTCCCGCACACAGTCTCTTAGCACAGTTTTGATGTACAATAACAGCTTCTGATGAGTCCCCCTGTTTCAGTTCTCTGTCCTCTCCAATCCAGTCTCTTTATAATAACCAGTGAGCTGTGGATGAGATCTGATCATTTTATTTCTTAGTGTTGAATTCTTTAGTTGTTTATTGCAGAATTTTAGGTAAATCCCCACTGCGTAGGCAGCCCACAGGCCCTTTGTGATGTTATTTCTGCCTCCTTTCTCTGGCCTTGGCTTGGCGTTGCTGGGTGTCCCCACCCTTTGTTACCTGTGGTCTCGCTATGCCAGCTGGATTAAACTACTTACTGTTCCTTGAGGGAGCCACGTTCTTTCCCGCCTTGAAACTTTGTACATTATGTACCCTCTGCCTGAATGCAGTTTCTTCTCGTCGTCCCTGTCTGCCCTCCTGCCTGGTTATCTGCCACAAGCCCAAGAGTTATCTCTTCCAGTCCCAGACAGATGTCCCTGCTAAGGCACTGCCCTCAGCCTGCTATGTCTCTTTCCTCAGCTGTGTGAAATTCATCGTTCTATCTCCAGCACAGAACACAGGTGTGGGATGTGGTGAAGGCTTGAATGGGTGTCTGGCTGCTGGCTAGTGTGGTGATCAAGAACGTGGACTTTAGAGCCAGTGGGTCTGGGATCAAATCTTGGCTTTGCTAATTTCTTGCCGTGTGACCTTGGGCAAGTTACTTAACCTTTTGGTATCGTTGTTGTCTCATTGATAAAATGGGGACAATAATAGTACCTAGCCCTTGAGGTTACCGTGAGGAATAGAGAATTAGATTACAGAAAGCATTTAGAAAAGTGCCTGGCTGGAAATAAGCATAGTACACATGTGAGTTCCTATTGTTACATCTGTGTTGCTCCCATACACTTGCTTTGATTTTGCACAGAAACAGTTACCCCTGCCATTATTCATTTTATTTATTTTTAGGGAAAATCCCTCTAGGTACCTAATTACCTCCAATCTCTAGGGATAAGAATGTTATGAAAAGTCGTTTTCATACAACTTGTTTTCTCAAATATTGCTTGGGAGGAGTTTGTGTAGGCAGAAGCACGTGGCCTAGCACCAGCAGCGGGATAGGATGGGCAGCTTATCCACAATGCTTTATTCTGATGATTGACTTGGTGTTCAGTTGTTAACTTCTTTTTTCTTAAGGAAACAAATAGATCTCCAAATGATGAAATTGGTTAACTTTTTTTTTCTTTTAATTCAGACAAGTTCTTGCTCTGTCACCTAGACAGGAGTGCAGTGGTGCTATCTCAGCTCACTGCAACCTCCACAGACTGGGTTCAAGCGATTCTTGTATCTCAGCCTCCTGAGTCGCTGGGACTACAGGCATGCGCCACCACGCCTGGCTAATTTTTTTGTGTGTGTTTTTGGTAGAGACGGGGTTTCGTCATGTTAGCCAGGCTGGTCTCAAACTCCTGACCTCAAGTGATCCACCCACCTTGGCCTCCCAAAGTGGTGGGATTACAGGCTTGAGCCACCCCGCCCGGCTGAGATTGGTTAACTTCTGAGGGGCCGCTTATGATGAGCCTCACAGTATTGATACTGTGTTTCAGTTTCTTCTTATCCTACCAATCATGCTCTTTGAAAACAAAATGAAACAAAACAAAAATGACAGACACCAAAGCAAAAAACAAGCAAAAAACAAAACTAAACAAACACCCTTTAGACTCATATTTTCTGAGTTTGAAATACTTGATGTAAAATCTGTAAATTAGTTCAGAATAGGATTTCTTTGCCAGAATTAGCCTTTTCTAGGCTCCTTGTTTGAGCTCAGTTTTATCTGGGTTCTTTTCTACAGTGGACACCTGACCTGGGTTTTGTGAACACACCTAGGTGCGTCCTCATGGTAGGTTTTTACGGCATAGCTGGAGTGTGGAATTCACAGCTGGGCTTAAAGGAAAATACTGCAATATTCTTTCAAACATTCTCCTAGCCTTCATATGACAGCTGAACAAACACATTTTAAAATTCGCCCGTATTCTATTTGGGAACTCCTAACTTTCACATTTCTTCCAATTTTTTTTTTTTTTTTTTTTGAGACAGGGTCTCACTATGTTGCCCAGGCTGGTCTCCACCTCCTGCGCTCAAGCAGTCCTCCTGTCTCAGCCTCCTGAGTAGCTGGGACCACAGGCACGCACCACTACACCCAGCTAGTTTTTTTAAAAAAATTTTGTAGAGATGGAGGTCTCACTTTGTTGCTCTAGCGGGTCTTCAACTGCTGGGCTCAAGTGACACTCCCACTTTGGCCTCCCAAAGTGCTAGGATTATAGGCACAAGCCACTATACCTGGCCTCTCTTCTTATTTTGTTAAAAATAAATATATTGGTTACAAATATACCAAAAAGTAATGGCTAACTATGTAGTAACATGTAATAATAATTGCCCCACATCTACTTCTAATTAGTTATCTAATATATTCTCCATCTTTATGAGAGTTGTCATGTTATTAATTCATCAGTTTGTTTTATTGTACAAGCATGCAAGGATATATTTTTGTACAAAAGCCAGGAACATATAGCACCAGCCAAAAAAGGCCTTAAATTATTTTGTGGTCAATTAATTGCTGATTATGCTAACTTTTAGTTTTGTTTTCTCAAAGAAGCGTTAATTATTTGTCATCAAATTATAGGGTAACTGTGCAATATATTTAGTAAGAAAGGTTCTTTTTCTTTCCTCGTAATAACAAAGGGTAACAACATAATAACATAATCACACAATAACATAATAACAACAGGCAAAACACTAGCAGCAAAGAGTTAAGTAAGAACTTCATTGAAGTAAGGAGTTCAGGGGTAGTGGAGATTTAGTCACACCAAAAAAGTCTTGCTTACAGCTTTGGTTGCCCTAATCCGGCGTGTAAGCTTTGAGTCAGGGTCTTCGGGTGGGACAGTCTGAGCTACAGCTTTCCTGGCAGATTTGACATGACTTAAAAAAACTTCAGTGTTGACCAGTGATGAGTCCTGGGCCACCCAGAATTTGGACACCACCTGTTTACCTGTAAACAGACAGTTATTGCTGAGCTAAAAAAGCTTGCCTTTGTGTTCACATGTGGGTTCTCCAAAGAGGTGAAACTGACCTGATGAAACACAGTAAAACTCAAGAAGGACATGGCCTTTGAATAAGCACTGTCATCCAGAAATGAGCTCCCGCCCCTCCAAAGAAAAAAAAAAAAGAGCCTTCCAAGCATTGTCACACCACACAGCTGGGCAAGAATGAGCCAGGACCAGCAGCTGATGGACTCCTGGTAGACCAGTAAGCTGTGGCTCTCTGTGGACATGTCACTGGGAGAGAGCATGTTGAGATTTGTTCTACGGGGCTTGGTCTCCAGGGAGCTTGAAAGGGAGATGGTATTTTCACAACTATGTGTGTGCTTTGTGTTCTGAAGGAAAGTGAGCAAAGATGCACTTCTGAGACTTTAATTTTCCCCAAAAACAATTTTTTGTAATTTTTAAAATTGTCTTAGAAAACCTGCTTACAGATGACATATATGAAATCAGTACCGGGTTACTTGGGGTGGAAATAGGTGGAGAATGATGTTTTGTATAACCTCTTACATACAGACAGGTGTGGGTGTGCCAGGCACGCTGGGGGTGGGGATACCCCCGCCACACTCAGTGAGAGCCCTGTCGTCATTGCCTCTCTGTTCTCACCACCTGCCACTGCAGTGGGCTCATGGCAGGCCCTCCACTGTGCTTTTTGGT